TTTTGGGTTTATTGGGTTTCTTGACAAGGCAGCTAAAAACTTTAATTTACAACTACCCTCCTAAGTGCAGCCAGGAGAAGGCTTATCTTTGGATGTTTTGCTGGGTTGAGAGTTGCGAGACACTGAGCCTTAAGCGCAAGGGAGCCGGGAGGGTCTGCTTGAGGTGATGGTACTAAGTCGATCCGTACGAAAGAAGGTTTGCAGGCAAAAATCAACAGTGAAATGCTGCTCAAATTAAATCTAGTTGCTACCATAGTAACCTAGAAATCTATATCTACATATACATACTCTGGAATATAATGCACAGGACCAACATGGTACTACCGGGCTGCCGACGGTCACACGTTGCGTCTGAGGGAATGCCCCAGCCTTCTTGGGCCTCCGCCCCACTCCACTGTGGGTTGACTTAAGAGGATGGGCCCTGGTGGGATCCGAATATGAATATACATATATATATATATATATACATGCACACATGTGTGTGTGTGTGTGCGTGTTTATTTATAGGTACTGCTTATATGACATATACATATATAAGCAATTCTATCAGAAGACCCATAGTTTAAATCAGTTCGCATTGAAAGTCCCCGAGACCTCTGAAATATCAACGATGAATCGGTACTTTGGGAGGTCCAAGATGTGGCTAGCCTAGTGGCATCGCAGAGTTCAGGGCTTCTTCCCTCCGAAGGCACCAAAGTCAGAGATTTTGATTGTCTCCGCAGGGTGCGAGATCTTTGCTCCACGCAGGACCCAGCCTTCCTTGCGGTGAACCTCAAAGGTCTCCACCCACAAAAGGCCCTACACCCCCTTAAGCTTAAGACGCCAAGACGCACTGAAACACCAGGTTGGACGAAGAGATCGCCTCGATCATGAGGGGAGGAGTCCACTCTTCGCAGCTGTCTGCAATGGCCAGGCCGAGGCAGGTGCATTTTGGATTTCTTTGGCTTAAGTTGTGTTTGATGTTTCGGGTTTCTTGGGGGGCTTTGGATTTATGTATGGTAATCCCCTAAACCCTTGGTTTAGGGACTGAGGGCTTGAGATGCATCTGTACCTGAGGAGGCTCATGCTCACGCCGAGGGGTTTGTGGAGAAAGGTGTGTAGACCCTTTCAACCCCTCAACCCTCAAGGGTTCGAGTTCTAGCCTTATAAGTTTAAACGCGACAACCCTCGAATGCATGTCTTGAAACTAAGCTTTCAGGGCCGTGGCTGTCAAGCTTCTTAGGAATGAATGAATGCCCTTGGCCTTGGTGTGAGTGGGGAGTACCCCTACACTCAACACCCCTTCCAGATAGTGTGAGGTGCTTTCGACTGGGTTCAGCAGGAACAGTGGGCTTAGGTTCCAGGGTAACATGATCAAGGACGCTCACCACCCATGCTTTGGACATGTTGGAGAGCAACCCTCACCGCTCCCCCCTCTTCGCAAGACCCTGCCATCCCTACATCTTAGACCCGTGAAGCCCTCACTTTCCCAGAACGCTTAACCCGAAGCTCCAAACTATCCTAATTCTAAACCTTACACGCTACAGTGTGGACACCAACTGATGGGCCCACCCGCCATGTGCCCTATCACCTGACAGGCAGCGGTCGGAACACACGTGTTTGAGGGTTAGTTAGGTTTCAGGTTGGGTTTTAGGGTTAGGGTTTGGCCCCCATAGGCCCTGACCCCCTTTTGTAAGCCCTACGAAGCCTGAAATTCTGTCGCCCCCTCGCCTCTCAACCATTAGCCAGGTGGTTTGCTGCCTGGTTCACATGGGCGCCGATCGCAACAGGTCAGGGAAGAGGTTGTGTATGATGGCCTTCTTCCCAGCAATCCAAAACCCTAGGTGCTAAGCTCTTGAAGCCTTTCTGAAGGCGTCACTGCACAGTACCAAAAGACCTGCCAAAGGATTTTTTGGTACATGATTCCAGAATACTTGTAGTGCTGTAAGTGTGTCTTTAGGTGTTTAGGATTTCGGTTTAGGGGGTAGGCCCGACGACCACATACCTCGAGCCCCCGGAAGTTGGAGCAGGACTTCTCCAGGCTTTGGACCCAGACCCCCCGGCAAGCCCCAAATAGCCCTCTGAGCCCTACGTGCTCTCTGCATGTTGAGCACTATATTCCCCCCGCAATCGTGGAGCCACCGCCCCGCAACTCCGAAACCTGGGTTTAGGGCTTAGGGTTTAGGGTTTAGGGTCGGAGATCTGACAGCTTGAGGGTCTAGAGGTCTTTGGGGCTCAAAGACCTCATCTCCCGAGCCCCTAAGACTCCCAGCCGCAAGCGATGCCATCAGGCGGTTTAGGGTTTAGGGTTTAGTGTTTAGGGTTTAGGGTTTAGGGTTTAGGCCCCTGTTTGAGGGCCGTCTGATAAGCTTCCCCCGTGGATGCCGAAGGACAATCAAAAAATCCTTCAGCCGCTTTTGTTTTCCCAACCTGCCGAACTCTTGCAGCAGGCAAGATAGCAATGGCCGCACACCTCTTTACGAGGCACTCGCTAGGGTGTATGCCTTGGTGTTCAGGGTTTGGGGTCTTCGGTCGCCGGTGCTGCCTTACCAGGTGCGCACTTGCAGATGGATACTAGATTCCTAGATTTGCATGTTTTATGTCCGCTGGGGGAGCCTGGCGATGGGCAGCATTGTGGAGTGTTGTGCCTTCAACACCCTTCTAAACCCGAAAGCCTAAACCCTAAACCCCCAAAAGCCTTGTAGCCACCACATGCCACTGCAGGGCGGTCCTTGAACCACTGAAGCTGAAGGGCTCTTCAGGAACTATGTAGGCAGAGTGCTGGCTAAGTTCAGGCAGGCCTCTTGGGACATGTTGGGGGGTTTAGGGTTTAGGGTTTAGGGTTTAGGGTTTAGGGTTTAGGGTTTAGGGTTTAGGGTTTAGGGTTTAGGGTTTAGGGGTCGAAGAAGGTCTTGGTTGGGAACCTTGTTCAGAACTTTGAGTCTAAGCCGCATACTCCCTAAGCCCCCTAAACCCAGAAATCCAAGGTACCGCTACCTGGCACTACAAAAACACGTACCTTGCGAAGTTATTCATATACAGAGGGCCCATGTAAACTTTAAGATTGCACCCCTAAACTAACCCTGCACCCTAAACCCTGTACCCTGAACCCTAAACTTAAATCCTAAACCCTAAACCCTAAACCCTAAACCCTGAACTGTGTCCGACAGTCATTCCCCAGGCTTTTTTGGTTCTTAGGGCTCGTGGGTGCTTGTTCCCTCCGAGACTTCAGGCCGAATGCTTCCTGGGAGGGCTTAGGGTTTAGGGCTTACGGCTTCGGGTTTAGGGTTTAGGGTTTTGGTTCAGGGCCTAGGAACCCTATAGCTCTCTCTGTCGTCATCCCCCTTCTTCGTCACATCCCTTATCGAGGCCTCGCGCCTCCGCTGGGCTAATGTCGTGGAGGCGCTCTGCCAGCTGGGAGCGAACATGGACCAGGCGGACGAGTGCTTGTGTCAAGGTTTAGGGTTTAGGGTTTAGGGTTTAGGGTTTAGGGTTTAGGGTTTAGAAGGGAGTCGTACTCGGACACCTAAGGATGGACCTTTAGGAGGCTCCCTGGAATGTGGCCGTTCTATTCCCTTAAAGGATCTTTGAACAGGGTCCCCAAACCGAGAGTCCCATAGTTTTTGGGTTCAGCATTCGAGGGTTCGGGGCAGGGTTTCGGGTCTACTCAGTGTGTGGCCCCAATGACTCCCACTGGGTGGTGAGGGGAGGGGGCACTCTATTGGAGCATGTGTATACCCGAAGGTTCCGGGTAGCTGGATCCCATGAGTCTAGAGCAAAGTGCCGGTGGAGTACTCTCGCGCGCACGCTCTGAGAGAGAGAGAGAGAGAGAGTTGATACCGTAGCATCAACTCGATCATTCTATGGACCTCTTCCCTGAGGCTTTAAGCACTCTTATGCTGAAAGCAAAGCGTATTGTAAGGGTTACAGAGAAAGTCCTGGAACCACCCAACCACCCCTGTCCAAAAACCCTAAACCCGACATAAACACATATTTTCATTTATGTGTTCTTAGACTTATGTGTGCTTATTCTTCCTGTATACACATTATATACATATTTATATACACATAAATAGGTGTATATATATATATATATATACTTTATGTGCCTGTTGGTCTGCTTTAGGACTCAGGGCTTCGGTCCTCGGGTTCAAAGAGCAGCCCTGCAAAACCAGCCTCTCAGGCGGATCAGCAGGGACGGGCTCCTCTACATGCGGCCGTGTGGAGCCTTGGTGGGGACCTGACTACCATTGTCCCCGAAACCCTAAACCCTAAACCCTTAAAACCCTAAACCTTAAACCCTAAACCCTAAACCCTAAACCTTAAACCCGAAACCCGAAACCCGAAACCCTGAACCCTAAACCCTGAGCCCTGAACCCTGCAGTAGAGATTTTCCTCCCCACTGTTCTTCAACAGGGCGGAGGGTTCAGTTGGGTTTTGGCGTTTATGGCGCGCTTGCGGGGGGCGGGGGGGGGGCGGGGTTGGATTCAGGGCTTGCAAGGTTTGAGATTCCGGGTAAGAGGTTCATGGAGAGAGGAAACCGACTAAACCCTAAACCCTAAATCCTAAACCCTAAACCCTAAATCCTAAACCCTAAACCCTAAACCCTAAACCCTAAACCCTAAACCCTAAACCCTAAACCCTAAACCCTAAACCCTGTCACGAACCCTAAACCCTATCAACCCAAACTTGAGGAACAACTCCGTCAGGGTCGTGGACCTGCTGCTGCGCGCAGGGGCCGACAAGAACAAGTCGGATTGGGATGGGAGGACCCGGAGGGGAACAAAAATCATGGCAGCCCTAGAGTCCCCAGAGCCTTAGACCTCTACACCTTCCTGGCATCTTATACTCTAAGCCCCTCAGTAACAAATAAACCCGAAGCCTTTACCCCGTACATCCTCAAGAAACCCCCATTCACCTAGATAGACCCCATACGCTCCTAAATGAACCCCTAAAGCCTAAACCCGAATCTTAAGGGGCATAAGGAGGGACCCCTAGAAGGGGCCTTATATACCTTATATAGTCCCTATAACCTAAGTAGCCCCCAAATAACCCCCAAATAACCCCTAAGCTCCCTTATAAGGGTCCCTCCTTTCGTCCCTTGTGAAGCTCTGAACCCTAAACCCTAAACCCTAAACCCTAAACCCTAAACCCTAAACCCTAAACCCTAGGACGCCCCTCTTTCTGGCCTGCTTCTTGGGATCGCTGCCCATCGTCCGCGCGCTGGTGGGAGCCGGGGCGCCTCGACTGTGAGCCCTTTGCAAACCCAACTGGGCTTAATTACCCCTAAAGCCCTGACCCCTAAACCCCAAACCGCCCTAACCCTGAACTCTACCCGAAGCCCCGAAACCCTAAATACTAAAGCCGTGTTGGCTTCCCGAGCCAGGCGAACAAGAACAAGTCGGATCCCCATGGTCGAACGCCTCTGAGTATGGCCGTGCGCGGTCCTCAGTTTTGACGGAAAGTCGGGGTTTAGTAATTTAGGGTGTTCAAGGTTTAGGGTTTAGGGCTTTTGGCTTAGGGTTTTGGAGGTTTTGGGAGTTTGGGGTTTGTTTTGGTTCACCTCGTGCCTGGCGTTCTTAGGCCAAGCTGTGGCTCTCCTAGCTCTGCCCCCCTAACCCTGAAGCGGTCTTCTTCGAGTTTAGGGTTTAGGGTTTAGGGTTTAGGGTTTAGGGTTTAGGGTTTAGGGTTTAGGGTTTAGGGTTTAGGGTTTAGGGTCCAAGCTGAGTGGAGCCATGTAAGGGGACGAGGGTCTGAGGATGTAGAGAAGGGGGGGGTAGGGTTTAAGGCATGGGGAAAACCTTAAATCCCAAACCCGACTCCCTCAACCCTAAACCCTAAGCCCAAAAGACTCCTTCTTCCGGCACGCAGGTGTGGTTCCCATTTCGCCGTGGTGCGCCTTCTCATTGAAGAAGGCCTCCGATGGTAAGGAAACTAACAGACCGGCACGTCGAAGATGCTAATCTTAGCCCTCACAGCAAACCCATCAACCCAGGCCTTACAAGCCCCCTAATACTAATCTACCATTATAATCCCTATCAAGGACTGTTAGTATAACCCCCTACTATAATGCCCTATTTACGGACTGTTGCTTAGGAGGGAACCTCCCAACCCCCCTAGACTCCGACATAGAGGCTTGAGAGGGTCGACCAGCGCAGGCGCGAACCGGAACCAGGCAGACCGATTCGGCAGAACGCCACTGCACGAGGAGCGGGCCCTGCTTTGTAAGGCTTAGGATTTGCGGCGTGCTTTAGGGGAGGCTCGCCTTTGTAGTACAGGGTGGTCTTTTCTGGGGCTTATCACCGAAGTTTCGCGCCTTTTACACAACTGAAGGCCCTTGAACACACTTCTGGAAGGCACCTCCCTGTACAGGGCTTCAGCTAAGAACTCCTGGTGACTTAAGATAGGGCAACAGCCTAAGCCCTAAACCGTTCCAGGGGTTTGGATTTTAGTTAGGGTTTACAGGGGTAAAGAGCCAATCACGCGAGGACCTGAATGCCGAGCGATTCTGGAGTCCGCATGTAACCTCCCTACCCTAAGCTCTCACCAGTGTCTGATTTCCTTCCTTTTGCTTCGAGCTGCCACAGCCGCCAAGCCCTGGGTATACTGTGTACATCTAGCAGCCGAGCTGAATCCTTGGACCCTAAACCCTGACACCCAACACCTCTCCCCTCAAACAAAGCAACATACAATATTTCAAAAGTACAAATAAATTATTTAACAAATAAAAAAAGCAAATAAATAAATATATATATATACACATGTATGTAGATATTTATATATATAGATATGTATATATATATATATATCACCCCATTGATCTATGCATTCTCCTTTTGCCCTTCCCCTCGCTCAGATGGGAACCTCATCATGTGGGGGGTCAAACTATCTTTTTCATAAAATTCTGAAACTTTACCAGCTGGGGCCCCGAAAGTTTGATAGCTTCTGAAAAAAGCTAGTTTTACCTTACTTTTTTTGAGCCGGACTTGATCAAAAAGGTTTTGACACCAGCTTTTTCTGCAAAAGGACTTTCAGGGTACGAGATGAATTTCAAGACATTGTGGAAGCGCTTCGAATTTTCACAAAGCTAGTTGTACCAGCGGTTTCTCAAATTTTGAGTAGTTGTTTTCAGAAAAAAGAAAGCTGGTCTTGCCAGCTTTTTCTGAAAGTTGTCCCTTTTTGCAGTAAACGAGCCTTCGACCCCCCCACCGCCCCCCCCCCCCCCCCCCCCCCCCCCACCGCCCCCCCCCCCCCCCCCCCACCCGGCCCCCCAAATTCGAGCCTCCCATCCCCGGACCTCATAAGACCAGAACCAAATGAATATATCTAGGGTTCAGGGTTTATAGGATTTAGGGTTGAGGGTAGATGAATATGTGCAAAGTTTAGGGCCTTACACTCGGGTTTAGGGCTTTCTTGGGCTTAGTTTTGGGTTTAGGCTTAGAGGCCAGGCCCAACAGCACCAAAGTTCACGCTTGCGTGCCACCTTTGCAAGGCCGCTCGTCAAGGGAATCTGGAGATTGTGAAGATGATGCTACAGGCACGCGATTTACCTAATTGTTTGGCTGGGCACAGCCCCTAGAACAGGTCTTTTGAGTCGTCGTATTGATTGAGCTAACCAAAATGCAGAGCTTGGCCCTAAGACCCCAGAACCCAATCAAAAGCTCTGTGTGTGCTATGTATGCATGTATGTTCGATGTATGTATACATCTAGGGTTTTGGTTCAGGGCCTTTCGGGTTTCATGACCTTTCCAGGTCGGGGTGGACATGAACAAGGCGGACAACTTTGGAAGGCCGCGACGTTGGGCTCGGGTTTGGGGTTTGGGGTTTGGGGTTTGGGGTTTAGGGTTTAGGGCTTAGGGCTTGGGGGCTTACAGGGCTTCGGGCTTAGTAGAGTGTAGGGTTCATGGTCAGGGCAGAGCGCTCTTGGCATCTTAGAGGGTTTTTGGGGCCGGGGGTCCTTCGGGCTTAAGGGTCGAAACCCTAAACCCTTCAGCCCTAAGTAAGCGCCACTACGCACCCAAAGAAGCCCTAAGTAAGAAGCCCTAAGTACGCCCCAAGCCCCAAGTAGCCCGAAGCCCTCAGTAGCCCTAAGCCCGAATAAGCGCCCTAAGAAGCCCTAAGTAAGAAGCCCTAAGTACGCCCCAAGCCCCGAGTAGCCTGAAGCCCCCAGTAGCTAAGCGCCCTAACAAACCCCAAGTAAGAAGCCCTAAGTACGCCCCAAGCCCCAAGTAGCCCTAAGCCCTCGGTGGCCCTAAGTCGCACATTCCAGAGGCTCTTGTGCTCCGAGGTAACTTGTCAGGAAGCGAGCCCTGGAAGCCATCGCCCTGATCGCTAAGCCCTAAACCCTAAGCCCTAAACCCTAAGCCCTAAACCCTAAATCCCAAACCCTAAACCCTAAACCCTAAACCCTAAACCCTAAACCCTAAACCCTAAACCCTAAACCTTGAACCTTGAACAAACCCTGGCCTTGAACATAACTTATGACCACGTTAGCATGCCGTAGCCCTCGAAACCCTAGACCACGAGCCCTCAGCCAGTAGGTACTTGAGGAGGCAAGTGGGCTCTCCGCCCTGAAAAACCCTGAACTTTTAACTTGGTAAAAGAGACGGTTGTAGGGTTTAGGGTTTAGGGTTTAGGGTTTAGGGTTTAGGGCTTAGGCGGCATGAAAACCCTGAACCCTACGCCCTCGACGAAACCCGGGAGTTTTCAGATCCTCTGCCAGGAGTCCGCTCGAGATGGCTGTTGCTGCCCTCGGGTGGCAGCTATTTTTCAGTGTTTTCGGGCTCAGGGGTTTAGGGTTTAGGGTTTAGGGTTTAGGGTTTAGGGTTTAGGGGGTTGAAGTTGCACGGCCCCTACGAAGCCATAACTGAACACGCTGATAAAACGACCTTTTCTTTCAGCGCGACTTGGTCGTAACTTACACAGTAAACTAAAGCACATGTAAGGCACCCAAGGTACACTGGTTGGTTAGGCCACAGGTTGGAATCCGCAGCAATCGCAAAAGCATGTTGTGAGTCACAACGGCAAAAGTGGGTTTGGGGTTTAGGGTTTAGGGTTTAGCGTTTCGGGTTTAGGTCGGCCTTTGAAGGTAGGAGGGGGCACCTCCAACAAAAAAGGACACAAAGCTACAATGCCATGGCCCGCACGCAAAGACCTGGAGAACCCTGTTCATGCAAAACCTCAACCCGAAGCCCTCTACCCCCAAAATGCACGAAACCTACGAGACACTTTACTGAACCCTTAAACCTTCAACCCACGAAACCTACAAGACACTTAACTAAACCCTAAAACCCTCCCACGAAACCTCTTAGCCGCTTTACTAATTACCCTAAAACCTCCAACCCAGACCCCTACCAAGGCCAACCACCTCCGTGTAGCGCGGGCACTGCTTGACAGCTACAGCGACCGGGACAAGCTTGCCGCGGCTTGGGGTTTTGGGGTTTTGGGGTTTTGGGGTTTTGGGGTTTAGGGTTTAGGGTTTAGGGTTTAGGGTTTAGGGTTTAAGGTTTAGGGTTGTTCAAGCCTCACGTCGCCAGGGTCTAGGGCTTAGGATTTGTAGGCGGTCGGCTTGGGCCCTCTAAACCCTAAACCCTCAATCTTAAAACGTACTTGGGGTTAAGATTTCTCAGCGTTTTGGGGATGCAGGGCTTCGCAATTCAAGGCCTTAAGAAGCTTTGACATCAAATTGTCGGAGTTCAAGGCTCTAGCCCATTCAGGCTCTTGGTAGCCCAATGGTCTTTGGGCTCTTCAACACGCAAGTAGCCCACGCCCAAACATGGGAATCCGAAATCTCTAGGTTACCTAAACCCGTCGACCTGCAAACCCGAAGTGAACACAACAAGCTCCGCCTGGCACCCTAAACCCTAAACCCCAAACCCGAAACCCCAAACCCTAAACCCTAAAGCCCAAGCCCTAAACCTTGAAACCCTAAACCCTGTTGCAGGACAGGCCGGCACGCATGCTGGCCCTACCGCAGAGCGCGTTACAGCCGCCTCCGGCACCCCAGAAAGCCTGGGTTTGACCAGCCGACCCCCCCCAAACGTAGATTTAGGGTTTAGGGTTGAGGGTTGAGGGTTTAGGGTTTAGGGCTGAGGGTTTAGGGTTTAGGGAAACCCTGAACCCTGCACCCTAGGTGCAGGGCCTAGGGTCTCAGCCCCTTTAAGTCTGCTCGCTAAACCTTAAACTGCCCTAAACCCAGAAACCCTGAACCCTAAACCCTACACCCCAAGCCAAGAGGGCCCTTGGGGTTCGGAGAGTACCAAATGACCTTGTTGGGTTGCCGTCCAGGAACTGAAGCAAGGCGACGCCAAAAACTGCGGAGCCTTACAAATATTGCGAACACTGGGGTTGAGGGTTCATAGGTCGAGGGTTTAGGGTTTCGGGCCTGCTTGGGGAAGTATGGCGATCGCTGTTGTTAGACTTCATTTACTCCTTGATGTACGTAGGGGTGCATAAGTCATGCAGACATGTGCGGTTTATCGTTCATATTGTGGGAAAGGGTTTAGGGGGGTTTAGGGTTTGGGGTTTGGGCTTTGGGGTTCAGGGTTTAGGGTTTAGGGTTTAGGTTTTGTCAAGTTCCTGAGCAGCAACCCAGCCGGCCAACCAAGTACTACATAGGCTTTCAATCTCTGCGACTGCCATCTGCCAGGGGCCGAAAACCTCTCTAGGGTTTAGGAAGGGGTTAGGGTTTAGGGTTTAGGGTTTAGGGTTTAGGGTTTAGGGTTTAGGGTTTAGGGTTTAGGGTTTAGGGTTTAGGGTTTAGGGTTCAAGGTTTAGGAATTAGGCTTTCGGGTTTAGGGGTTATACAGGACTCCAAGAGCACTAAACCTGCAACCCCTGAACCTCTTGGACCTTTGTTGTGTTGGAGGTTCTAGAATCCATGAATCACGAACGGCTTCCTTCTTCCTACGTTATTGGAGGTTTTTTCAGTCAGAGCCACGCGGTTTAGGGCTTATGAAAGCTGACAGGGGCCAGAGTCGCAATAGAGCCCAGCTTCTAAGGTGGACAGCTCAGTAGCAGGCCGACAAGTGCCTTAGGGGCTTTGAGGGTTTAGGGTTTAGTGTTCATTGTCGCAACCCGACACCCTAAGAGCTAGAAATAGACCTTCGTTCTCAGGATTCGTACCTAGCTCGGCAAGCATCAATGCCCTGCGATGGCACGTTTTCAGCACTCTCAGCGGCTTCGGCATGGGTAGTTTCCTGCAACTGAAAGTTCATAAAACCCTGAGCCCTAAACCCTAAACCCTAAACCCTAAACCTAGGAACTGTAACCCGGGGGGGGGGTTATTGAAAGCATCGGTGCTGTGACAAGGGGGCCGTGCAATAGAAAGCTACCCACATGCTCCGCTGCTGCGCCAGGGCTAGCAGGGGGTTTCGGGTTTAGGGTTGAGGGTGTAGGGTTTAGGGTTAGGGTTTAGGGTTTGGGTTTAGGCCTGATGGAGTCAGAGTCTTTGCAGACGCTGGCCCAACGTCGGCCACGGGACGACATGAACCCTCGAAGGATCCAGCGTCCCAGAAACTTTGATTGGCACATAGAGTAGAGGGGAGCAATATCGGGGTCGGAAGAATTACGAATAGTAGTCTTCCATAAATGCCCACTCCATACTGGAATAACCCCAAAACCCTATTCTAATCATCAAGGCTAAGCCCTAAACCCTGAACCCTAACCCCGAAACCCTAAACCCGAAACCCTAAACCCGAATCCCTAAGCCCTATCTTCTATGATGCCTATTTTGGGGTTCATGTTGTCCCCAAATGGAAGAAAGTTGCTAACCCTCGGCGTGGATTTAAGTGTCCTGGAAGCCGCCACGGGAATTAGAGTCTCGTGCCGAGCTCCTGCAGCATACCAGCGGCTTGGGGTTAGGGTTGAGGGTCGAGGGTCGAGGGTCGAGGGTCGAGGGTCGAGGGTTGAGGGTTGAGGGTTCAGGGTTGGTTGAGGGCCCAGGGTTTAGCGAGCCCGGGGCCGAGTCCAGAATCGCAAGCAACACGCAAGCAACCCCATAGAAGTGGGAAGAGACTATCCATGGGTTCAGGGTTTCGGGGTTAGGCTTTAGGGAGGGCAGGTAGAGTGTGAGGATGCAAGGGCGGCGACCCAAGGGTTAAAGTTTCGGGTTTTAGGATTTTTTAGGTTGGGGCTTATAGGGTTTAGGGCTTAGGGTTTGGAGTTTCGGGCTCAAATTTTGGTTCTTTTTCAGTTCTTGTGTTGCTGCAGGAGTTCACCTGTGGGCATTAAGAATGCCCCCCCCTGCTTGCACGAGTTCCGTGCGCTGTGTGGTTCCCCGTTTGATGAAACATGGGTGTTTGGGGTTCTGGGCTTAATATAGGGGTCGTACTAAGTGCTAATGATAAGAATAATAATAATAATATTCCCTCGTCCCTTTAGAATTATTCTATAATAACCACCCCAAAACCCTATTCTAACTATTCAGGCTCCTGCGTTGTACGGTTCAGGAAAGAAGGGTGTATGGGGTTGGGGCTAGAGGGTGGGCTTCAGGCTTTTGGCGGGGCTTCTGCCAGCACCTTACCAAACAAGTCCTCGGGACTCTTAGGAAACTGACTAGGGATTCTAGTACCCCCCCCCCCCCCTATTCGAATCTCTGTTAAGGACTGTTAGAATATGCGGGAACATCCCAAGACACAACTCACCCCCCCACCCCCCCTAAGAAAAGAGGTCTTTGGGGTTCTGCATTCAGAGACTCAGGCCATTAGAGCCCATAAGCCCAGAGCGCCAAGAACCCCACAAACCCAAGACCCGGAACCCTGAGTCCTAAACCACTCCGGTTTAGGGTTTAGGGTTTAGGGTTTAGGGTTTAGGGTTTAGGGTCATTCAAAAGCACGAAAGTGCCCCAGCCCCCCCCCCCCCCCCCCCCCCCCCCCCGCCCTAAGGTCAATCCACCTAGGAACGAACTGGGCTTAGGGGTTTAGGATATGCTCTGAGATTCGAGAAGCAAGGGGTATGATCCCAGGCTTAAGGATCCTTGGGTCTTTAACCCTAAACCCTAAACCCTAAACCCTAAACCCTAAACCCTAAACCCTAAACCCTAAACCCTAAACTGTAAACCCTATAAGCTGTATGGCAGTAAGGTATGCGATGGCCTTTGGCGAGGGTGAGGACGCACGCTATGAGGCGCGTTGTGCATCGCAGCCCTTCTTGAAGGTTCATCGGGGTACATTTACATTAGGGTTTGGGCTTGGGGTTTTCAATTTGGAAGTACGGTCAAAACTTATGATAAGAAAGGTTCAAAGGTCTACCAGAGTCTGTGACATTTCTTAACTAGGCAGAGTTGTGGCCTTTCGTCTTCTTTAAGACGGCGGCCTTCCCCTAAATGTACCCAAACTGCCTCAACCCTCACCCCTAAACCCCTCAACCCTCAACCATAACCCCCAAACCCTAAATCCCCCCCCACCTCCCGCCCCCCCCCCCCCCCCCCCCCCCCCCCCCCCCCCCCCCCCCCCCCCCCCCCCCCCCCCCCCCCCCCCCCCCCCCCCCCCTGACCCCCGATGCAATGATGACCGCAGGAGCTTGCAGAGGTCACCGACCGGTACAACCCCAACCAGAAGGCACGGTGGAGACTCATCCGAGGCAGTGTTCCGAGAGGCTCCAAAACCCTTTTTTTCTGGAATATACGGAACCCTCTTATACTTTAAGGAATTTGCTCAACGCCTTTCCTTCCCGAATTCGCAGCGAAGGAATCCTAACGAATGGTATCTGTACGTGGCAAACCGGGCCCTTCACAACTACACATGCAGGGGGAAACGCCTACACGCTGCAGATTTTAGCCCAACAGCTAGTCGAACAAACTTTGTTTACTCACCCCGGCCCCAGAACAGGTACCCTGTGCTTCTCAATTGGCGATAGGGTTTAGGGTTTAGGGTTTAGGGTTTAGGATTTAGGCTTATTTTACGGGTTGCCCAAACCCAGGCAGCCTTTGTCTTCAGTACTCCAGGGCTACCAGCATGGCCGCGTGCTGCACTTCATCTCATCGCCCGGTTGGGCGAAACAAAGACCCAGCGGCTTCCAAGCTCCACGCCCTAAAGCCATAAAGCCCTGCACCCTCATCATCACTACAGAGGCATGGTTGGTATGTCAATGTGAGCATCATCCTGGTTTGACTTTAGAGAACATGCGCAGCCTGTCGGATCACTACAGGACCGACGTAGCACCACAAAGTGGCCTGCCACGAATGCTGCGACGAATGCTTTGCATATTGTGAATGTTCAGGCGCCCAAATCTAGGCTGCACCATTATAGAATCCCCACATGAGCTCCGTCGTTCTTGAGCTCTCCGAGATGCTTCATGGCGCGAAGCACGCGTGGGCATCTGCGTAGTACACGATGGAAGCCGCTTCTTTTTCCCCGAAGGGCACAAGCCAGCATGCCGATGACCCACAATGACACCCTAATGCCTATAAGCCCCTAAACCCTAAACCCTAAACACTAAACCCCAAGCCCTAAACCCTACGAAGATCCCGCGGCAGGTGACCATCCGCAAGCCGATCGAGCGGGAGCCCGCAGCTGAGTAGTTGAGATCTGTGGAGCCCTTATAAGCCCTTAGGCTTTAGGGTTTTAGGGTTTAGGGCACCATAATCCTACTGTTTCCCTAAGACCCCGCCCAAAACATATTCAAAGGAATGTTCCCTACAAGGGTATTAAGGAGATTGTATTATTGTTTTCGTTTCGGGGGGGATTGCATAAATCTGAAACCCCAAGCCCTCAACCAAGAACTCAGACCGTGAACCTTACAGACCTGTAGAATCTGAAAGCTGCAAGGTATGAGCAGCTAAAGAGAAGCTTCTGTAAGATTTTAGTTCGATCGGCTTCAGAGTTTTCAGTAGAGTTTAGGGTTTAGGGTTTAGGGCTTAGGGTTTAGGATTTAGGGTTTAGGGTTTAGGGTTTAGGGTTTAGGGTTTAGGGTTTAGAGAGTTGTAATTGGCAACCTTTGACCTTCTCAGTATCCCATATTTGATCTCCAAGGTGAACTCCTCTCAAACCCCCCAGATCCCCTAAACTTTCTAGTTCTGAA